AAGGCTACTTAACATTTACCTGGTCAAATTCGATCAATAATTTTTATTTTAATTCTATAAGCTCATAGAAATAAAATAAAAAAAAAACTGATCGAATTTGGTCAGGTAAGTGTTAAGTAGTCTTAAATATTTCTCGAAAACTGCTATTCAAATTCGCTCAATTTTTTTTTATTTTAATTCTGTGAACTTATAGAATTAAAATAAAAATTTTTTCATCAAATTCTGTAGCTGGTTGTCAAGAAATATTTGTTTAAAGCTCAAAGAAAAATTTTACCAATTTTTTTTGCTTAAAATATTTAAAGTTTTTTAAAACTTTTAACGATGATTTCTCGATAGCCACTGAACAAAATTTAATGAACTTTTTTTTATTTTAATTTTATAAAACTATAGAATTAAAATAAAAAAATTTTACTAAATTTGAACAAGTAGTTATTAAGAAATCATCGCTTGAAGTTTTCGAATTTATTATTAGAATCTGCGCCACAGAATATGACACGTGCTCAAATACGGTTTTTAAATAAAATTAAAATTTTATGAAACTTGAAACCTTTATCATGTGTACATATCATTTACTAAAGTCATTAATATATTAAAGCAAAATTTCTAAAGATTCGTGATTATAATATACTTTTTTTAGTTCAAATTCATATAAATTCATTATTGTTATGCATGATAAAATTGCTAATCAGTAAGTTAAACATTCTTATTTGAATGGATTTGGATTGAAAAGATAATTACAGGTAAAATATAAAAAAATTTTACAAAATTTTCTTATATCGAGAATTTATTCAAGAAATTAAAGATCGCCAAACTTGTTTTAGATTTATTATAAAAATAAAATAGCACACTTTTGGATAATTTTTTGAACACACGATATATGTATGTCAAATCCATCAACATATATATAGAAACTGTTAATTTGGCCAATATAATATTTTTGTGATATAATTATCGGCAATTTCATAAATTAAACAAGAAGTTAATTAAAATTTTAAGCTTACCTATAAATTCTAATCAAATTCAGTCATGCGCATAAAGTTCTTCTAACCTGGACGCTTATTTAGATTTGTTGGTGCAAGTGGTACACTACTGCTGCACCATTAAGTTATCATATAAATTTAAAACATTGCACCAGTGGCAATGCCACCTGCACCAGCAACCCTACACTTATTTCTGTTAATAATTGTATATGATACGAATCATTCAAGGACACTGACCTGTTGTACAAAAAATTTATATTCTAGACTAGTGTTTTTTGTGCTATTACATATTGCTTTAAATCACAATAATGTTAAATATACTAACCAATATGTGACATTGAAGTGTTAATTTTGAATGCATTTGATTCACAGTATAACGATTCTTTGAAAAATCAGTTTTCGAATACACCGCCACACCATGGTAAAGTCTCAATACTGCAATTGATAATTCTTAAATTGCTAAATTAGTGTAATGCAGACTTACTTACTTCAATGCAGAAATATACAAGCAACTGAGACATTATATGGATCTAAGTGACAATTGGCAGAAATTTGAAACTATACAATAAAAATTCTCAACTGCTTAGTATGCATATCAGTTTGTTATTATGCAAACATACACATCTCTTTAGATGTTTTCAACAAATAAGTATCTATAATTCTATTCGATTTTCTGCGCAATTAATAAGTTAATTACTCTATCTTAGTTATTAATAATATAGATCCCATTATCAACCACAAACATGGGGAGCGTTGTTGTAACATTATAGCTAAAAAAAAAAACATATAAACAAAAAAACTACAAAGAACATAAAACGTCAAAATAAGTTGTCATAACTAATATCGTGTTTTATCTGGTTTAAGAGAAAAAAAAAAGAGTAATTAAATGTTAGAAAAAATAAATATCAAAATTATGAAACTCATCATATAATTGTTCAAAGCCTTACATATTACAAAAATTGAAAATTCGGTTTGCATATATTTAGCGAAATCACAGTTGTTATAAAGAATTCACATTTGATCCAATTGAAAGGAGTATTGCAGAGTTAGAGAATATCAGATTAGGAAAAGAGAATAAAAATTTTGTAAAGAAAAATTTTAGATTGTAATATATACCTGTAATCAAATCTTATAAATAAAGTCATTGTTTACTCTTTGTTAAATATAACTTCTGTACAAACATTTTGAGCTGGTATCTCGACATATTAATTGAATTATTTTATCCTCTCTATTCGTTAAATTTAACTTTCATATAAACATTTTGAGCTGGTATCTCAACATATTAATTGAGTCATTCTCAATTGAAACTATATAACTTAGTAAAAATTTTAAAGATGGAATACTGTACTAAATGTCATTGCAAACACCCTATTGACTGATTTGTGTGGGAAGGAAAGCACCATAAAACATGTAGCAGAAATAAAGGGAAACAAGAGCAGAAGAATAAGGATATATTACCTGAACATTATGATCATGAATTAAATCACCAAGATAGCATTGAAGTTCTCTCTGAAGAAAAGTTTGCTCAAACTTTGGTTGCTGATAAAACCTCTGAACCAGAATATAAAAATCCTACTGAAGTCAACTATCTTGATTTGGGAGACTTTATTGAATATGAAATCCAAGAATTGACAATTGGCACTAAAAATGATGGGGTAGCTGATATTGCTTATCAGACCCATTTAATAGTAAACATGGACAGTGCTATAACTCAAGATAAAATAGCAAAAGAAATAGCTAACCTAATAATTGCCGAAATTGAAGGTGGCAATGATTATTCGTAGAAGTAAGTACAATTTTTATTAAAAATATATTTCTATCATAATGATACTAACTTGATATTTATTATTATAGCTTTCATCGTGCAGAAATGTCAAAAAAATTTGGAGACACTATTGGACGGTTTTATTACTATTGTTGTCAATCAAAAGAAGCACAGAGTGAAAATTATAAAGACTCTAATAGAAAGTGGCAAACATGCTATGATTGTAAAGGAAAAATCATAATTCAAATAGATTTAGTTCTTAATGTAATAGAAGTAAATATCTATCATAATTCTCTTCATCAATGTCCAGACCTTTGTATTAAAATGCCTAATGAATTACAAGAAGAGATTAAAACACACTCACATCTTACTGCAACAGAATTAAAAAATTATCTGCGGCGTTAGGGTTTTGATATCTTTAAGTATTCATCCAAGTGCATCTACTATTGGAAGTCCATAGCAAGTCAGCAATTATTCCAACATTATGATAATTATATCGAATCTGCATGTAAACTGCTAAGTGAATATGAGGGCCGTGGCTTTCAATGCTGCTTAGATATAAAGGATTCAGATACCACTGCTATTGGCTTTATTACACCCTTGTTGAAGGAAATCAAAGATCGTAACATCAGCATCAATGAGATTTACCTTGACGCAACTTACAAGACAGCAAGAGGA